TTCAGCAGAGATCCCATCCCGGGTTTGGCAAGATCTGCCCACTGCAAAGGGGGAACTCCAGGGGGAAACAATGAAAGGAAAGGGAACGGAGTTAAGGCACTTCAGAGCCCAACAAGCCACTGAACTGTGGCTCAGGCAAACTTCACAAAACCATTCATCTTCTGAGGGAGCCACCAGCAACGGCCCTGCCATGGCTCTGGAGCTGCTGCCATCCTGGTGGGAGGTCCTGTCAAACTCCCAGGATTTACGGAGCCGCGGGAAGATAACGCCGAGCGCTGGGATCACCACGAGGAGCGACTGTCTGCTCAAGGGAACCCAAAACTCCTCCCAGCCGCTCCCAGCCCCCGCTGACTAAAGCTGCAGGTGGCACCTCCGTTCCAAACAGCCTCCGGAAGGTCCGGGAGATGGGGAGGCTCCAGGAACAGAGGGGAAATTCCCACAGACCCGTAGGGAGTTCAGAGGGATGAGAGGTTCTGAGGAGTGTTCGGGACCAGCCCCAAAGATCTCCTGGCACAAAGGGGGTTTGGGCCTCAGCAGAACCAAAATGGATCGTGCTGGACCCTCACGAGTCATAACTGGCATTTGTTGATAATTACAGACAATTAATGAGCAGATTAAAGCCGCAACTTCTAATCAAGGAGACCCAAACCCGAGTTTCTGGTCTCCTTTGGAACAGGTCACGTCCTCTTGAGGACTCAGACCAAGATTCCCACTTTGCCATCTCTGTCCCTCAGGAAAAATGAAACCTTGTTAAAATCCAGCAGGAACTTCCCACCCTTAACTGCACATCCCGAAATCCATGGAAAACAGATTTTCCCATGGCTTTCACACCTGCCCCACGCCAGAACTGCCCTGGAACAGCCAAAAAGCCAAAACATGTCATGGATTTATCCCATCAGCAGCTGGGATGGGTCACTGGGAGCAGAACAAGCTTTGGCTCCAGTGATTTCCCTTTCTGCCCTTGTCCGGCCTTCGGAAGCACGGGAGTGATTTCCATGGAGAGGATCTCACTGAGATTCCAGCGCTGGGCACCAGCTCCAGGAATTCCTGAGCTCAGGCACGCTCTGCTCGGCCGGGCCAACCCCCAGGAGAACTGGGCTGGCTTTGAGGGGATGACCTGATCCACGTGGGACTCGGGTGGGACAAAGCTCTCGCGGCCAAGGGCTCTGGGGAAGGTCCAGGCAGGAAAAATTCACAACTCCACCAGCTCAGGTCGGCCTCTGACAGAGGCCCAGCAGGGAAATCCTCCCAGTCAACAGGGAATCATGGAATGGGGTGGGTGGGAAAGGACCTCAAATCCCCCCCAGTGCCACCCCAGCCATGGCAGGGACAGCTCCCACCGTCCCAGCTGGATCCAATCCCAGTGTCCAACCAGGCCTTGGGCGTTCCCAGGGATCCAGGGGCAGCCACAGCAAATCTGGGAATTCCATTCCAGGGTCTTACCACCCTGACAGCCAAGAATTCCTTCCCAATATCCCATCTGAAGCTATTTCTTTCCACTTTGAAGCCAAAGCCTGGATATCTCACCTTCCATCCCACCTGCCCAGGGCTGGATCAGCCAAACTCATTCCCTGGCTCATCCCAAGCCCAGCAGACACAGCAACGACCCACGGAAAACACGAAAGCAGAACAGAAATGGATCAATGGATAAACTCCACATTTTCTCCTCTCATCCAGTTTTCCTTCGCACCAGGACCAGGTTCCCCATCTCCACTGGTTTGTCCCAGCCCCAGCTCTTCCCTGAAAGGAGGATTTTCCTTGGACACTTGCACTGCAGGAATATCCTGAAATATTCCCCAACCTCCAGCTCTCGATAAAAGACTTTAACCCCAAACATTTAACCAAGGCACCTTTACTTGCTTTGTATAAACCAAAAATTATGATTTTTGATGCAAAACGCGGTGGTTTCCTTCTCAGCCGTGGGTTTGGTTTCATGACAGCAAATAAAGATCGCACCAGGTAAAGAATAAAACAATGAAATTCCCAATAAACTCCAAAAAATGACAACCCCGAGGAGTGATGGGGATGGAAACTCTGCCCAGAAAAAAAAAGGAATTTCTGCGGCTCCCGCTTTGAAGAGGTTTTTCACCTCCCTCCCCATAGGATCAGAGCACTCAATTTATATAAAACAAATGTACAAACAGGCTGGGAGAGGCTTTGGGAAGTGTTGGGAGCAGAAAGGAGGAGTTCCCACAATAAGGCAAACGGGAGAAGCCATCGGACACGGCGACAGAGGGATTCTGACACTCCATCTGCAGTAGGTTTTAATTATATTGCAATAAGGAGCTATATATGTGCATTTTTCATGATTTACTAGATGGCTTCTTTAAATTCTAAGCCAAGCTGTGTTTTCCTTTTTGTTTTGTTTTTTTTTTTAAGGAAAAAAACCCCCAGTTTTTTAAAAAATAATTAAAAATAGAAACGGCGCTGCAGCGAACATTTGGAAAATTTTTCGGAGTCGATTGTTTATTGGAACCCCAACTGATTTTAATGAAAAATATGGTTATAATTTGAAAAAAAGCAGCACTTTTATGTTTTGCATAAGGAAAGGCCCTACAATGCAACCTCCGGGGCACTTCTGGAATCAAAAAAAAAAAAAACCCCGAATCTCAAATGGTCGCCGGGGCTCGCCGGCCAAACCCCCTCCTGGAAACCCCAAAGATGTGGGTTCCAAAGTATTCCAAGCATCCACAACAAGTGAAACTGGATGTAGGGAAGTATGTTCCCAACATTTCCTTCTGTTTCTGGTGAAACTGGAACCAGATGACCCCGAGCAGCGCATTGTGTGAAGGGGTCATTAAGCAGCTGCAGATGCGGCCCCACTGCTGAGCAGCGACATTGGCGCTGATCGCTTCCATCCCGCTCCGGGAAAAGGTCATCCCGGGGGTAAGGCGGGATCATCCCGCCCCTCCCGGCGTCCCAGCGCAGCCCCCAGGGTTGGGAGAGCTCAGCCAGGAGGTCCCTGGAGGGGACAATGCCAGGGGGAGCTGCAGGACGCCCCAGTGGGATGGTGGAAGGGAGTTCCAGTGGTTCTCCCGGTGGGACACAGCCACGGTGTCTCTGCCGTGGGGTTCTCCCACAGGGCCCTGCCCTGCTCGTTCCACCACAACAGCCATCCCAGTTTGGTTCCCTGGCTCTCTGAGGTCACAGCAGATGTCTCCAGGTGACCCTGGTGCGACTTGGCCCAGCCTTGGTGTTGCCTTCACCTTCCCCAGAACTTGGGCTTTCCTCCCCTTTTCCAGTTCATCCGCGGGAAACCAGGAGACCTGGAAAGATTCCCCGTGGAAAGGGGAAGGTCAGGCCTCACAGGTGCCCAGGGAGGTTTGGAGCCCCCATCCCTGGAGGTGTCCAAGGAATTCCAGGACGTGGCACTCAGTGCCAAGCTGGGATTGGCACAGCTTGGACTGGATGGTCCTGGAGGACTTTTCCAACCTGAATGATCCTGGGATTCTGTGCTTGTGTAAAGACGGGATATTAATGGAAAATCCTTCCCTGTGAGGGGAGCACAGATTCCCAGAGCAGCTGTGGCTGCCCCTGGATCCCTGGAAGTGCCCAGGTCCGGGTTGGACATCGGGACTGGAAGCACCTGGGATGGCAGAAGGAGTCCCTGCCCTTGGAACCAGATGATCTTTAAGGTCCCTTCCCACCAGACCATCCCATAATTATCTGATCAAACAAACCACACCAAGTTCAGCAGGAGCTGAGCTTGTCCAGACACCGAAGGGTTGGAGAAGACACCCCTTCCTCCCAGAACCACCATCCCCTAAACGCCAAAAACCCCAAAACCAGCACCACCTGGGCCGGTGGCCACGTGGAAAAATTCCCGTTTCCAACCAGCAGCCACTTTTTTCTCCTACTTTTTGTGACAGCTGAACCTCGGATAACCGTGACTTGATCACACTTGTGCAAAAATACATCAATACATAAAAATCAGGAACAAGCCAGCACCACCAACAGTCCACACAAACACAACATCCACACATCTTAAAGAGGACCAGCTCCATCAAGCTGAAAAGAATTAAGAGGCAAATCAGTGGGGAGAAAGAACGTAATCAGAAAAATATGAAGCCTAATTGAAAATTGTTTAAGAACATTTTAACGAGATGCTCCAGAAGCCACAATCCCACAACTGAGCAGGGCGGCCACGCTGGTTAAAAGGCAAACCTGGCGCAGATGGGAGTTAAAGAGGCCATAAAAAAACCAGGGAAAAAGAAAAAGGGGACATGACAAATGGAATAAAGGGAAAAGCTCCAGCTGACAAAGGGAAATCTGGTGTTGGGATGTGCAGAGGCTGATATGGGAAGCAAGAGATGCACGGAGGAATAATTGGCTGGTTAAGTTCATCCTTGATTTATTATTTTTTGGGGGGAACAGTCAAACAATGCAATGGATTCTTCCTCTAAAAGGGGAATTTTGAGAAGTGTTCAAGGCCAGGTTGGATGGAGCAACCTGGGACACAGCACGGGGTGGAATGAGATGGGATTTATGGTCCCTTCCAACCCAAACCCCTCAGGGATTTCATGATTTATTTTTTTTTTCCCCTGAAGAACTGGAAAAAAAAATCTCATTTTTGTGAACAGCTGAGAGAGGTCATGGAATTCCAGCCACAGAGATCCCTTTGGATTGCAATCCAGTGGCAGGTAAATCACATTTTGGACGAGCAGATTGTCCAGCTCAGGTGTACAACCACGGAAATGTTGGTGTGACTCCACCTGAAAGCCTGGGCTCAGTTCTGACACCCAAATTCCCAAAGTTTGGTGGAAAACCTCTCGTTTCAAACCCCAGCAGATGCCCAGATGGGAAAACCGGGAGTTTTTCCATCGGGAAGGTGATTTACAAGCACAACAAAGGTTAGTGAGGTGTAAGTCCTCAGCCAGGGAACCCAGATGTGCAGTTTAGTGCCACAAAATCAACCCCAGCAGGCCAAAGAAAGCCAAAAAACTGGGAATTAGGTCCAGGTTATTCTCCAGGAGAGGGAATTAGTGACCAGTGCAAAGTACCTGAACGTTTGGAGAGAGCAGGAGACTGAAGAATATCCTGGCAATTATTTTCCAAGGATTGAATCTGCAATCCTTTAGGGAATGAAGGGAACAAACATTAATAAAAGAGGGAACAGCAGCAGAGCAGAAAGACAGAGAGCAGACAGGCAAGAAACATTCCTGAAAGAGGGAAGCAAAGAGTGCAGAAAGCTGACAAAAACATGGAATTTAGGAATTTGTACAACCGAAGGCAGCAAGAAAAGGGAAACCTGGAACTGCCACACCTAGCAGGACCGGGCTGGACATGAGGGATGAGGCCAAGTCCTGCACCGGGGTCAGGACAGCAAATCCAGGCTGGATGGGGAAGGGATTGAGATGAGCTAAGGAGGATTTGGGATGGATGAGGCTGGAATGGCCCAGGCTGGGCTGATCCCAAAGGAAAGGTGGGAATTGTGTCCCGGAGCCCCTCAGGTGAGGCCCCACCTGCAGAGCTGCCCCAGCCCCGGGGCCAAGAGCAGGAGGACGTGGAGCTGCTGGAGAGAGTCCAGAGGAGGCCCCGGAGCTGCTCCAGGGCTGGAGCCCCTCTGCTCTGGAGCCAGGCTGGGAGAGCTGGGAATGTTCCCCTGGAGAAGGGCAAAATGCAGGGAATGCTGAGAGTCCCTGCAGGGGCTCCAGGAGAGCTGGAGAGGGACTGGGGCCAAGGGCTGCAGGGACAGGAGCCAGGGAATGGCTTCCACTGGGAAAGGGGAGATTGGGCTGGGATCTTGGCAAGGAATTCCTGCCTGGGCTGCAATTCCCAGATTTCCCGTAGCTGCCCCTGGATCCCTGGGAATGCCCAAGGCCAGGTTGGACATTGGGATTGGGAGTTTGGACAGTGGGAACTGTCCCTGCCCAGGGAAGTGGATGGGATTGAAGGTCCATCCCAACCCCAGCCATTCCATAATTCCATGAAATGCCAGAGTTTGAAGGCCCAGGGATGAGAAAATCGTCGTTGCTACACCTTGAGCTGTTTCTGCTCCTGGAGTAACCCCGGAGCACAGAACTGACAGCGCTGGGCCCTGGCTGGGCCCCGTGTGCTGAAGTCTCAGAGTTTGGGAACATTGAAATCTTCTCATTTAAAGTGAATTTTCCTGTGTAAAACCTTGTGCTTTTCAAGCTGCCCAAACACCTCGGTCTGGAGTGAGAACAGACAGAGAACCCTTAACCCTGGAAATGGTTTGGTGAGGAAAAAATGTAAATACAGAGAGGAACAAAGAGCGCAAATTCAGAGAGGGGCACCGGGGCCACGTCTCATCCTTCGTGGCGCCAGCTGATACCAGCCATGGGATCATTCCCAAAATAAATCCATGCCCAAGACAACCATAAAAACACTTTCTGACTCAGCCAAGGCCTGGTGTCCAAGGCCACCCTCTCCCCCAGGGTCAGGCTCCTCCGTGAGTCAGAGCTTGATTCCTTTTCCCGTAACGCAGCAAGTTCAGCACTCCAAGAATTTCCAAGTTTCATCAAAATCCATAAACACGTTTTATTCCATCCAGGAGAACATTGAACTTGGCGGCACCGAGCACCGCAGCGGTGGCCGCGAGTCAAACAAAAAATCCTCTTTGGAAGAGTCAAAAACGTCTCCCAGGAGGGAAAGGAAGGAGGTCTGGAAAATGGGCATCTCCCTGCACACAGCCACCCTTCAGCCGTAAACAAAACATCCATAAAAAGCCGGTGATTATTCCCTGTTTACATTAAGGGCCTGTTGGAAACGCCTGGTTCCGGCGGCACGGGGAGGCACCCCTGGATTAACAGCTCGCCCTGGGCCACACAGGGAGCGTTATCAGAGCCCAAATCACAGCTCCCAAACCCTTGGCTGCCCCAGCTGGAGCTGAGCTTCCTTTCCCTCTCAGCTCCTCTTGGCTTTTGAAATCTGGTCTTGGCCACAAGAAGGAAAACAAGTTGGAATTCACCGTTCCCGCGTGAAGGTTTGGGATGGCGGTGCTCAGGTAGCCCTGGATCCCAAACAATGCAGAGCAGGAGCTGGCCACTGGCTAATGGCCACCTCCAGGTCAGGGCTTGTGGTTGGAGCTCTGAGCTTTCAGAGAAAATGACTCATTGGGATTGTGAAGGTTTTCCAAGGATGACGCAATGGCCGCCACAAGCCTGGATGGATCATCCCTGGAGGCCTTTACTCCGCTCCCAAACCCGTGACCCAGCTTCGACCTTCAACTCCTCAACCCCTGGCTGCTCATTTTCAACAGTGTCTACCACCAGTGTTCCCTAAACACAAATCAAAACCCCCTTCCTTGGTAAATCTAACACATTAATTCCCTCAAGCCTCAGAAATCCTGTTTCCAACACCGAGATTCCAACTGTCCCGTCTTTGTCCAGCTCCAGCGGGGAGAGGACAGCCTCTGAACACACCCCAGAGCCCCAAGGCGAACGCTCTGCAGGTGGAACCACACCAACACCTGCCACGAGGACCTTCCAGAGGGATTGCACAGGACGTGGCTCCCTTGGAATCTTTTGCCTGAACTGCTCCATTCCACATCCCAAAAAATGCAGCAGCTCCAGAGGAAAGGGCAAAAGCCTAAGGAAAAATTTTATTTAGAGGATGTCACTCCCTCCAAGGCTCAGAAAGGAAAGCAGACCCCTCTGTTCCCATGTGGATCTTGAGAGAATCCATTTCTTTAGGATATCTTAAATCCATTGGAACCCATTTCACATCAAAACTTATTTAACTCCATCCTATCCAGACCCTCTGTGTACCCTGAGGTGCCTCCAAAGGATCCTGGCAGAGGTTCCCAAAGCAGCTGAGGCTGTCCCTGGATCCCTGGGAATGTCCAAGGCCAGGCTGGATCTTGGAGACCCCTGGGATAGTGGGAGATGTTCCTGCCCGCGGATGAGATGATCCTTAATGGCCCTTCCCACCCAAACCACTCTGTGATTCCCTGGATTGTGCAAACCACAGGAAGTCTGCAGCTGGCAGACTGCCGCACCCAAACCAGGGATATTCCACATTCCCGAAGCTCCAACACCATCAAACAGCAATTGTTGGGATCAGGAATCTTGCAGTTGTCTCATGGGAACATCAGCCTCTCACTGTTCGTTATTGATCCTGGTTTCCCACAAGGAAAGCCCAGGAGGTCCCAAGGGTCTCTGATCCAGCCCAGGCAGCTCCGAACGCTCCGGCACAGGGAAAACGCTGATCCTGCGCCTCCCCTCCTCCGGGAACGGCCAGGAACGAGCTCCCCTTCCCAAACTGCAGCCAAAAAGGGAGCGCAGCCCTGCCGAGGGCCATGGAATCATTTCCTGGTAATTATCCTCATTCCCTGCTCCCGGGGCTGCTCCAGCCTCACAGCCAATAAATAAAACCTGTAGGAACTGAAATCCTACGGAATTCAGGACCGAGGAGTGACCTCACCTCTGAAAGGGCTTCCTCCATCTTTCCAAAAACCCCAAACCTTTCCCTGGAAAACCTGCAGAGGTTGGGATGAGGGATGAGACCAGAGCAGGTCCGACCAGCAGAGGGTCTGACCCAGGGGACACCTGAGCCACCACAGGTCACCGGGAGACGGGAGCCAATTCCTTAAAAATCACTGGATTTCCATTTTAACCTGACTTTTAGGATCTCAGGGAGGCAACCTAAGATGGAATTTCATCATCACCAACCTTGATAGCAGATGTAGAATAAATTCCTCAATATGAATGTAGAATGAATTCCTGAACCCGATGTGAGCGACCCTCACCTCCCACGATTCCGAGGTTTTGCTGTTTCCAGCCCCATTTATGTCCCAGCCCCACCTCACCCCAAATCCTGCGGGCTCCCAGCAAATATCCAGGAGGTAAATCAGGAAAACACAAATAAAACTAACCAGCATCAACAGCTCCAAGAGATCAGAGCCTTCAGCAGGGCCATGGGTGACTTCCCGTGAGCTCCATGAGCAGCTCCTCCTTAGGGGCACACGGAAAACCCCTCACCAGGAGCAGAGAAATCCCCAAACGCAATCCACGAGCTGCAGGATGAGGGGGGTTAGGACAGCACCCCATGGACCATGTGCAACTGGCCACTCCTGGTTCTGGTGGCCACCAGGGTCACCAGCCTCTCCCTGGCCTTGGGCACGGCGGGAGGAGAGCAGAAGGTCCCCTCAGAGGTTGGATTTGGTGACAAGGTGCTGTGAGGCCACGGGTTGGACCCAGAGATCTCAGAGGTCTTTGGTTAATTCCATGATTCTGTGAGATCCTGGAGGTCCTCCTGACCTTCCATGGTCCTGGGAGAAGCAGAGCTGGAGGGCAGTAGCGAGGTGACCCACACCAGGTTTTACTGAATCCCAAGTTCTGGAAAACCTCCTGCCTGGTTTAGTTTTCCATCTGCTGCCCAACAGAGCCCAGAGATTTCTATTTGTATCCTGGTATTTGGCAAGGGCAAGGAATATTTCCTAGCGGGAATATAAAAAAAAAAAAAATAAAAATAAACCTTCCATTCACACTGAAACATCTCCTGGACATCCCTGTGGGCCTAATTCCCAGAAGGCCGAAATCCAAACCCCCAAGTGGGAAAAATAGACTGATTACCTGCCAGGAGCCTCAGGAGGGGCAAGCCAAGCCCTAATAACAGCCTGTGCTCCCATCTGGCATCCACACAGCAACTGGGAAAACGTCCCTGCTCCGAGCTGGACCGGCTCGTCAGGGTAATTGCTTCGGAATTAATTAAATGTTCCTCTCTGCAGCTGCACAGAACATTCACAGATCATTCCCTGATTGCACTGATGATTCCCTGGAATGGATGTGACCATCAGACCCAATTCCCTACGAGCTGGATCCCGTGATCCCTGTGGGTCCCTTCCAACACTCTGTGCGTGAGGAATTTGCATCTAAATATTCGTATTTTAGGCTGAAATCCTGAATGTTCGTTTCAGAATTGTGAATTCACTGCCCGAGTCTTTAACCCTCAAAATAATTAAGATGTCAGAGGGGAAGAATGGCTTCCCACTGGGAAAGGGGAGATTGGGCTGGGATCTTGGCAAGGAATTCCTGCCTGGGCTGCAATTCCCAGATTTCCCGTAGCTGCCCCTGGATCCCTGGGAATGCCCAAGGCCAGGTTGGACATT